TGTCTCTACTAAAATACAAAAATTAGCTGGGCGTGGTGGTGTGCACCTGTAGTCCCAGCTACCCAGGAGGCTGAGGCAGGAGAATTGCTTGAACTTGGGAGGCAGAGGTTGCAGTGAGCCAAGATGGCGCCACTGTACTCCAGCCTGGTGCCTGGCGACAGAGCGAGACTCTGTCTCTAAATAAATAAAAAATATCCTGAATTTATTGAAAGAATGAAATGTTTTATGACTTTTTGCTAATTAAGAAGTAATTTAAAAGTTATTTTTATAGATACATTTATTCTGAACTCTGTATATTGACCTTTTATAGATTTTTAAGTATGCTGCCTAAATAATTATGAAGAAAAACGTAGTTCTTTAAAAACTATGTATCAGAGTACTTTCATTGATACCAATAATTGGAAATAAAACATTTTCTTTTATAAGACCTAAATTCATAGAAAGGTAAGAATTATTTAATAACATGTTTTCATTTTCATTCATTTATTGTCAGTGCCTAGTCAAAATCATATTTTATGTTCACATACTAAATGATAAATAATGTACTATCTGTTGCAAAAACCTATGTAATAAGGGTTGTATGATTACATATTTGGAGTTTACATAGCATCTCTAAGAAATCCCAAATGCTTTGAAAATATTGTTTCACTTACTTTTTTTTTTTTTTTTGAGACAGAGTCTCACTGTGTCTGTTACAGAACTGTTTTGAGGGGATGTGGTGGAACTCTCAGTTGAAGGATTCCAGAAGGGAATGTATTCAAAGGTTAATTCAGCACAGGGCTTAGAGCATGGTGAGTACTCTTTAAATTAGCTGCTATTCCTGTTATCACTATTACTGTTTACTTTTTGATAGACCACAGGCTTTAAAGTTTCATCATGATGTGTATTTTTCTGCATGTGATGTATGGACAGATCTGATTATTGATTGTCCAGATTATTTTCTCATCAGCCATTAGGATGATTTTTATCAGAGTATTCTTATATTGTGAGGTCGTGACAATATCATCTTGACATGCCAAGTCAGGAAGATGAAATACCAGGTTGTACTAATAATTTTTTAAAAACTTTCCAGAAGGACACCCAGTCTGTGTTAGATGATGATTTTACAAGAGACTCGATTCTAGATCTTTTATTCTGTAGCCACTTGGAAATTTTATATCTGAATGTTTCAAATTTAGGGATGTCTTCCCCTTCTAGGATAGGTGTTATCTAATCATAATGAGATGAAAGGTTTAAGAGACCAAGAGCTAGAGAACAACCAGTTATGTTTTCTTGTTTAACGGTTACTTTATTTTTTCACGACCACATACAATGCTAAGTGGTGCTCAGATACTGTTACCAACTAGGTCCTGGTCTATTCTGCCCTGAGCAGTAAATCAATTACTGTGACATAGGTTTTGCAAAAGAAAAAAAATTATTCACAAGGGCATAGAGTGAGGAGGTGGGAGAATAGCTCTGAAAGATAATAGGGATATTTATGGGTTAGGGAAATGGGACAGTCTGAGGTGTGGGGAAATGTAATTGGCAGTGGGGAAAAAATGAACAGGCTCATTCGGCATAAATGTAGCCAGAGTTCATGGCATTATATAGGACATATGTACAGAAAAATGACAGTGTTAGCATGATCTGAGGGTGGAGTTTTTGACCCTCTGACATCAAAAGGCCACACCTCTCAGGCACTTGAAGAGTCAGTGGTCTCAACCAGTTTGAACTGGACAAAAGCTGGCCTAAGTTTCTGAAAACAACACAAGGGACAGTTACCATGGTGACCTATGAATATTATCTATAATATAGCCAGTGAAGGTTAAGTTTCAGTGTTCAGAGTCCCAGTGCTCAGCTACTGCAGCCTTCAACTTCATGGAAAAAGGAAACAACAACAAGAAGAGGCAAATGACCAAAAGCAAGCAGCGGAGACTGACCTAATGAAATTAACCTCTCAGTTTCAGTACACTCATGCTGCTTCCAGCTATCTGCAAAAGGTAGATTCTCTGCATGATTTTCCATTATATGGGGAGGACTAGGGAGTCTGCACAGAACTAAGCTCTGTGGGGAATGTGGGGAAGGCGGAGATACTACTTCAGATAAAGGAGAGATGTCTGGGCTCCTTTTACAAAGCAAAAATGGACAAGCGTTGACATCCAATCACAACTCTCGCACATCATTTAAAGAGGTTCAATAATGGCTTTGCAGAAGAGTAAAATTTCATCTCCATCATTTGGGGTCCTGGCTGGGCCCGAGGATTAAACCAACATAAAAAAGCTTAACAAAAGCATATAGATTCGTTTATTTGAATTTTTATGTGGCATGGGAGCCTTCTTAAGGAAATGAAGACCCCAGGATGAAGTTTGAGTTGGCCATTTATATAGTGAATTGCACAGAGTGATAAAACTGAAAATGCAATAAAGCAAAAGGGCATGAGTTAGGGTAGTTAATAGAGTGGAGAAGTGACTAAGAAGATAATAGAGTGGAGAAGTGACTAAGAAGATAAGGGTTAGTTTAACAAGGTTTGTTTGTACAGATTTTCCTTAGCTTCAATTTCCTGTCTTTGATAAGAATGTGGCTTTCCTTCTTGTGTAGGGAGGACATTGTTGACATGGGAATTTTGTCTCCTGCTTTTGAGAAACAGCATGAAGTTCAGAGTGATCTTCTGGTACCTGCTTTTTTTTTCCCCCCAAGTGCTTGACGTGGGGAAAAAGTCAAGCTTAAAATTTTAGCTTTTAACTATTTAACTTAAAATAGTGAATATGCCACAGCAGCATATTTTAGTGAGGCATATTAACTCTTTTGGCTTCTAATCATAAATTTCTTACCTTGTAAGGTACTAGGGACCAAGTTTTCACTCTCTTATAGAAACATTTAAAAAGCAATCAAGCATAGATTTCTAGACATAGACTTCTTAAAGGAAGTTGCCAACATTATGTCTTCTTTCTCTCTGTTGCAATGTGTATACTGTTGCATCTGGGAAGGGACACTCATTTTTGCAGTTCCATAATGAACTCCAGTGCTCACACCCTGGGAACCCTATCAATAATAATTGTTAGAAAATATTACTGCAGATGATGTCAAATCCTCTGGTTCCTTAGGGTGTTACCCAAAGCCTTACCAAAACAAAACAAATTACACCACTATATAATCAATTACTAAATACCTTCAAGTGTGCATAGGCTTTGCTAAGCACAGGAAGAAAATTTCCAGGTTGTCATCTGAAGACTTAGGGCTGGTTATGGCAAATTTCTAAACAGAAAGGCTCAACAGCTTACAGGTTTCCAGATACAGAAGTAGCTAGGCTAGGCTGCTTCAAGTGCTTTGCAAAATCGGACCCACTTCAAATTTATGCTCCCTTTTCCAAAATTGATTTGATTTAACCTACAATGAAAAGAAGTAAATGCAATCAAGATCAGCAGTTCATGAGGAAGCAATTATCTTAAAAAAAGAGGGAGAGAAAGAGAAAGAAGAGCTCTGATCAAATCAATTTTCACTCTAAGCTTCCTAGCAGCGAAGGGAAAAAAATAAAGAAAAATGGAAAGAGTGTTGGATCTGGTGGCATAAGGAATGGGTTTCAGTTTGGCAGTCTGCTGCTGTCACTTAGTGGCAGGGTCAGGATCTCTTAATGTATCTTCTTAGATTCTGTTTATTTTTAAAATGTGGAGATTAAGAATCTGGAAGGATATTGAGAGGATTCAAGGAGATACTGAATGTAAAGGAAAACTCTAAAGCATAATAAAAATGAAGTGGCTATAATGAGTAATTAACATCCAATAAAAATATAACCTTTTAAGTCAGACAATGTTACATTTGTCTTCCACCCGAGAAGAACACAGAGGGCTGGAACATGAGAACTCATAAACATGTTGTTTACTGAACTAATGAAAGAAGGAAGGAAATCTTTCCCAAGTTTTCTCTTCAAGCTTGAGTAAATGTCTGGCAAATTTCATTCACTCCTTCAATATAGAAAAGATGAACATCAGATCCCAAGCAGCTGAGGGGGGCTGCAGAAGGTCCTATGCATACAGGAGGCTCTACTGTAAACCCATGACCACAGTTCTAAATAGGTGTTTAACACTGTCCAGCAAACTGTGATTTCAGCACCACTTCATTGACCATTCTCCCCACTCTCTACTTCAAGTCTCCTACAATCTCTACCCACTTAATTCCTCACTCTTCATACCTGAGCTCTAAGAACTATTCCCTGACCTCTGCCAGATTGTCTCCATGGAACAGTCGCCTTCTTCTCATAGCATCATCACTCCAAAGTTACATTTCTTTGCATCACGATTACATTATGGTATCAAATTAATTATACATCTAATTTATAAAATGTACATCATCATTATTACTATACTTATTTGCATCATTATTTTATTTATTTAGAATAATGCAATTAGGTTGGTAACGGGCTCTCAGGCTGTAAACTCCAACAGAGCAGGGGCCTGTTTTTGTTCTCCCTTGTGTTCCTTGTCCTAACCCAGTGTCTGATGCTCAGTAGGTGCCCGGGTCAATTTTGCTTAAGTAGTCAGGATTCCTGACCTCTACAAACTCTCTGCCTAGTAGGGGTGGAGGCCTACTGTGTGTAATGGCCATCTAAAGTTTCAGGAGAGTTTGCAGCTCTCCACCTGGGCTTTGGTAAAGAAACCTGGGTTGCTTGTTTTGCAAAAGGAACCCTGTAGTAAATGTTTTAGGAGACAGAATCCTCCCAAAGAGAACCCTGCCCCTTTACAACAACAAAACAAAATAAGCCCCAAAGCCGCCACAAAATATTTTCCTGGATCAGAGACAGGTGTTGCTCAGAATCCTGCGCCCCAGGGCAGGACCTGGAATAAACCCTTCCAAGTATCGAGCGCGCGTGCCAGCTGGAGGCTGCGCCGGGACAGCCCCCTCTCATTTCTCCCGCGCGAAACACCGCCGGACGGCTCCACTCCCTCCCTCCGCTGCAGGGGGGAGCCCGGCGCCCTAACACTGGCAACTGGTCTTGCCGCTCACAACTGCAGCCCCTCTCGTGCCGCCTGCGAAAAGAAGTTCAGTGGCTGCGAAGTTGAAACAGTGATAAGAGCCACGAGGCTCAGCGACGCGGCGCCGAGCGGGCAGCGCGACGCGCTCCCCCTGTCCCAGGCGCGGAGTGCGCCCCTCCCGGGTCCCGCCCGAGCTCCGGGCGGAGCGTGCTGGCTGCTCGGCCCCGGGGAGTTCTCGGTGCGTCTGGCCCGTGGCGAGGCCCGGCTCCCGTGGCAGAGTGCTTGGAGGAGACTGGAGCCTCTTTAGGAAGAATGGAGTTGGCTACTCGCTACCAGGTGAGGGTTCGGCGCCCGCAGTTATGTGGACGCACCCACAGCTTGACTTTCCTTTGCGACCGGGTCTTACTGGCTTTGGACTGGAAACGTGGCCCTTGGCTGCGGCGCTGACGATTCCGCGCGCCCAGCCGTGTGAGTGCCGGAGTTGGCGCGCCCTGCAGGTGTGCGCGGTGGGTCACGTTTGTGCCACGCGGACCAGAGAGGCCGGGTGCCCCCGCACACAGCCGCGCTCAGCGTAGCGCTATGTTCCGTATCGGGTGGCTGCCGGGGGTGCAGGCGGGGAGTTAGCGGGGCGCAGCGCCTGCGTTTGCAGCCCTCGTGTGACGGGGGAGGGGATTTTTTGTCCGCTCCCCACACTTTCTCGTGGAATTGGCAAAGATATCAGGAAGCTTAAGAAAGTTGTATTTTTTTTTTTTCTGATAGTCTATCGCCAGACCAGTCCAACTTGGATAATGGAGTTTAAAAAGAATAACTTTAGTGTTCTAGAACGTCTCTAGACGTTTTTAAGGAATCGTGTGGGGGAAATAGCAACATTGTTCAAGTCAGACAAGCTGCAAGATCCCAAATCTTAGGCACAGCAGGATCCCAATTACGCGTTAAGGGCCTAACTAGCCTTTAAAACTCATTAGCAAACACTTGAGTAAGTTCTCCCAAAGGTTTCACTGAGTGGTGGGAATGTGAACGTGACTTCAGCTTTCTCTTTTTACCTCTTCAAAGCGCTTTTCTCTACCTTATCGTAATGGAGATATATTTTTTCCTTAGAGGTAAGCAATAAAAACATTTTTCAAAATAACTAAAAGTAAAATCTTTAAAAAGAGAAGCAGCCACGCCTCTGCTTGTGGGGGCGCAGAGATGCTTTGTGCGAGAATAGTTTTATTTTTTTCTTTTTCCACTTGTTTTTGTGAGAGCCGCGAGATTCACTACTTTCACCTTGCCGTCTACTCGTGTTTACTTTCCTCCACCTGCGTGCCTAGCCGGGGAGAAGAGGAGGCGGGGCCCCTAGCGTTGGAAGGCGCAGAGTGCCAGGTGTCCGACGCTGTCACCTGCCCGAGTCTGGCGGCAAAGACCGAGGCCCTAATGGTAGTTTTGGCCTTTAAGTAATTTCTGAAGCCGTCTTGAAATGGTTGTTTGAGAAAAATCTTGTTGATGCTTCTGAGAAAGAGTATTTGTAAAGTGCTTCCTGTGAGAGAAACTGTTAAAAGCAAGGGAAACAAACAGTAAAACCTAGGGAATGAGACGGGGTTCGATTTTTTTTTATTTTTTGCCACTGGCTTTTATTGTGTATTGGCATCCTAATCTTTTGTTTGTTTGTTTTTTGTTTTTTTGAGATGGAATTTCCCTCTTGTTTCCCAGGCTGGAGTGGGAGTGCAGTGGTGTGATCTCGGCTCACTGCAACCTTTGCCTCCCTGGTTCAAGCGATTCTCCTGCCTCAGCCTCCTGAGCAACTGGAATTATAGGCGCCCACACCGTGCCCGGCTAATTTTGCTTTTTTTTCCTTTTTTTAGTAGACACGGGTTTCACCATATTGGCCAGGCTGGTCTTGAACTCATAACCTCAGGTGATCCACTTGCCTTGGCTTCTCAAAGTGCTGGGATTACAGGCCTGAGCCACTGCACCCAGCGGCATCCTAATCTTCTAGGAGTTTCTGCTGCTGCAGGACAGAAAACAACAACAACAAGACCCTCCAGATGGAGATTTGTGCTCCCTGTGAATTTCATCACAAAACGTATCTGGAATGTGTCACTCCTGAAACCTGTTGTTAGGCTGGAGAGTTCTTTTCACTTCTACCACTGATATTCATAATTCATGCTTAGGAAACTCAGAAGTCCCAGAATGTTACATAATGAGGCTAATTTTTGGTAGTTGTAAAATGTTAAACTATTTTTCATGTGGGGATTACCCACAAATTATATCCGATCCATTTATGCACCAATTAAGGCAAATTACTATATGTAAGATGATGAGGGTTTTTTTTTTTCCTTTTCTAAAGACCTAATTGGCAGCTGAAATCAAGATGTGTGATGATTTTTTCCAGTGGAAATGTTCCTGTTCATCGTAATTTAAATGTGAACAGATTATACTCTCTAAATTAGTGGAGAGTGGTTCTATGGGGTGAGCAGGTGACTGCAGATAAGAGTACTTAATGAATGTTTCAGGCACAGCAAGATGTTAAATTCATGTGGTTCCACCCTGTCCTCCAGCCTTATGAATAAAGCAGTGTGATGAACTGCCTGAAGTGGCATTACTGCACGCTGAATGTTCAGCTCAGTGTGCAGTGGGTTTTAATCTCACACATTGGAGTAAGTATAATTTTTATCCCTTGGAAAGCACAAAGCTAGACGGTGTTTCAGCAAAGCAGCTTGGGCCTAATGTTATGAGTAATAAGCAAACAAGGAGACACGCATTTACTCTGAACTACCTTTGAGTCTACTTTTCTGCCGTTCCACCTGTGTGTTGGTTTTGATGTTCTGTGACAGTGATTACGCTTCCCACAGTCTGGAGTCTTGTCTAACTGACCACTGTGTCTTTGTGCTTTTATATAGGATGACAGAAATACCTCGTAAAGACAAGGGTGTGATCCCTTACTAAGAGCTGTCAACAGTGCAGCTTGCTGGAGCCCCAGCTTGCTGCAGCTCCCTCGGAGAGAAACTGGTAGGCACTGAATGTCAGTGTTCTCCTGGTACTGTCTTCTAGCTCCAGGGTGCAGAATAGCCCATTTAAGAAGGAAATGATGCTAAATGTTCTTGTAAATAGGCAGGAGGAGCATGCTTTTAAAGGGGTAAGGGGTAAAGGGGAATTTTTCTGGTATTGATTTGTTAGCTGCAAAGGGCTCCCATCTGATCCTGTTGCTTACCATGTAATGCCAGAGCCCCAGAAGCTAGTCACAGAAAGGGCAGTGATTTGCCAATTTAATAGTTTTGTATTTAAAAGGCTCCTCGGTTCTGTGTTCTGCTGGCTACCCCATCCATAGCAGAGCAGGATTCTCAATAATCAGGAGAAAAACCTCAGACCATAGCGATTCTGATCAGGTACACAGGCCAGGAAACAATGAGATAAGTGTGGCCTAAAATGATTATGAACATTAGTGTAAATTAATGAAAAAGATCAGAACGCCATTGAATAGAATAGAATAAGCCAGGCATACTACATTTAAACTGCTCTTGAGAGTTTTCCTTTACTCAAAGTTATGGTTTACAATTTTTACCTCCAAGATAATTTTGTTTTAGGAGAGACTCGGATTTATTCGCCAATGTAGAATTGATGCAGGCTACTTGAGGTAGATAGGGATAGACATAAAGTATTTAGTGGGGCCACTTTATTTTCTTTTTGCTTAGGAAAAGCAGTGGTTTCTGGAGAGTTTTTGAAATAGGACCATTTAGAGGCATATTTGGTAAATGTCACTGAACACTCAGAAAAATGTATCTTCCATAATAGTAAATGCTAGCACCTCGTATGCAGCACAGAAATAAATCGTTGTGTCTCACAATGCAAGGGGCCTGAGCTTTGGTTCAAATAAATAGTTGGTGCTTCTTGCCGGTTTTCCCTTGTGATCATGAGCTGAGGACAGAGGGTTTGCTGGGTGGGTTAGTCCACTGATCAGATATTCAACAGAGCACCTACTCTGTGCTAGACATTGGTAGGGTGATAGAACAAAGACACAGAAAACATTATTCTTTCCCCATACTCTCTACCAGAAAGCCACTCTTGAACTCCCTTCCTCTTCTGCTTTTGCCACAGTTTAGCTGCCTCCTGCTCTGTGCTGTGGGGACTTGTGGGGACTTTGGGTTTGGAGGGAAGAGGGAGACCTTAAGAACCACCCTTTTTTGCCCCTAAGGAATGGAAACTATCACTTCCTTTTGAAAGTCATGCTGTGCTAGGTACTTAAAAGTTATCAAAGTTAATCCCCACTGTTGTTCTGTGAAGTAGGTTGTGTTACCTACATTTTACAATTAAAGCTAAATTGACTAATTTGCTGAGGGCAATTTACAAGGAAGGTTATTTAGCCAGGATTCTGTCCCCAGAGCCTCTGCCTGGCCCTTGGCTGCTGGAATCCTGGGGCCTTGGTGAGTCAGGAAACTTGCCCTCTTTCCTCCTCCCTTTAACTTGAAGGGCAGGAGTGGTAACAGCAGCTAGTCTGGTTCTTTTTCTTAGGAACTCACCAGATTATGCTTTACACTGCCTGTAAAAGCTAGTTTGGGAATGTGAATCAGATCCACCAGGCTTTTACATAGGAATGACTTTTATGTGAAATTTGCATTGTGCAGACAATAACATGTTACTGTAAGCTGGGTTGAAGCACTTCTCTGCTTCTCCTACTCTCTGTGCCCCATTTCCTGGACACTTTCCATGTAGTGTTTGCCTAATCTTTTCAGTATGATTGCTGTTGGAATCTGCTTTCCTTAGCACTGTCAGTATTATGTTTCCTAGTAGCTTAGAGGTCTTCACAGTTTTCATTTTTAGAGACTGTGTAGTGTTTCTAGATGTGCATTTTATGTATTTTCTGTTGAAAACTTTTTTTCTTTATTAGAGGAACTTTGTAGTAAATATCTCAGGATAGTATCCTGTGTATCTTACAGCTTGTGTTAGAGTCTTCACTATATATGTGTGTGTATATACCTATATATACATATATGTACTATATGTACATACACACACACACATTTTTTTTGAGATGGAGTCTTGCTCTGTTGCCCAGGCTGGACTGCAGTGCCAAAATCTCAGCTACTATTACACTCTTTTAATTAACGTTTATATAGCATCTTCTACTTGACAGAACACTTAGGGGCATAGTTTGGGAGTCATAAGGGCTTCCAGGTAAGTGGTAGGTTTGCACTTTCCTGGCCCTGAAGCAGGCAAGGCTATTTGACTTGCTTTGGCCAATGAAATATGAGAATACTGTCTGTCACTTCTAGGTGACAGAATGCTATTCGCCAGCATTCTGCAGGGTGATAGCTCTATCAGGCAGGCTCTGGTGTGAAGACAGTGTGGAATAGAACCTT